GGTTGTCCTTATCTTCCGTGTTAGGCGGGTTATTCTCAAGAGGAGTGGACTTCGCTCCTCACTCACGAGAAAATGGCTGGTCACCGGGATGCCCAGTCCCATGCTTTATGCAAACTAAATCAAAATTAATTGCAAAAAAACTCCCCCTGGGACCTGATGTATGTTGGAGGAACTCGTTGTTTCGAGCAAGCCATGGATTGATGCTTGTTGGTGGAGGGGGAGTATAAACTTTACCATTCTGCTTGGGAACTGCCTATAATGTGTTTAGCATGGAAGATATCGCCATCTCTTAGTTGTTACGTTGACAATGAAAGTATACCGCTCAAAATACAATTTATCTCTATTTCAAGACTGAGCTCTGGCACCTCTACAAATCCTTGCTTCCCTCTGCGAAGGGCCTATCCATTTACTTTTATGTTGAGTTATCACCCTCTTATTAAAAAGCACTAGCTGGAGAGCGCAGCTGTCATTTGCATTCATCACTGTTAATTTATATTGGGTATGACTATGATTGGATCTCTTTTACCATGAATTATAATGTCTAGTCAGTCCTTGATCTTTAAAGGTGCTCTGCATTTATATTTTGCGGTCTCAGAAAGGGCTAGCGAGATACCATCTTGTTATATCATATTATGATTATTTTGAGAAAGTGCTGTCATCCGAAATTTATTATTATGACTTGCTAGTTGATTATGCTATTGATATGAGTAATTATGAGACCTGGGAATTATTGCAAATATGGTTAGTTATGATCTATGCTGAAAATTTGAATGCTGGCTTGACATAGTTACAACAACAAGAGCAAACAGAGTTTGTAAAAGTTTTTCTTTCCTTCAGTTTGTCAACTGAATTGCTTGAGGACAAGCAAGAGTTTAAGCTTGGGGGAGTTGATACGTCTCCGTCGTATCTACTTTTCCAAACACTTTTGCCCTTGTTTTGAACTCTAACTTGTATAATTTGAATGGAACTAACCCGGACTGACGCTGTTTTCAGCAGAATTGCCATGGTGTTGTTTTATGTGCAGAAAACAAATATTCTCGGAATGACCTAAAACTCCATGGAACATCTTAGAAAAAATAATAAAAAATCCTTGCCAAAGATGAAGACCAGGGGGCCCACACCCTTCTCACGAGGGTGGGGGCACGCCCCCCTAGGGCGCCCCTCCCTAGGGCGCGCCCCTACCTCATGGGCCCCCCGGATGCCCTTCGACGCCAACTCCAACTCTATATATTTGCTTTCGAAGAGAAAAAAATAAGGGAGAATAAATCATCGCATTTTACGATACGGAGCCGCCGTCAAGCCCTAAAACCTCTCGGTAGGGCTGATCTGGAGTCCGTTCGGGGCTCCGGAGAGGGGGATTCGTCGCCGTCGTCATCATCAACCATCCTCCATCACCAATTTCATGATGCTCACCGCCGTGCGTGAGTAATTCCATCATAGGCTTGCTTGCCGGTGATGGGTTGGATGAGATTTATCATGTAATCGAGTTAGTTTTGTTAGGGTTTGATCCCTAGCATCCACCATGTTCTGAGATTGATATTGCTATGACTTTGCTATGCTTAATGCTTGTCACTAGGGCCCGAGTGCCATGATTTCAGATCTGAACCTATTATGTTTTCATGAATATATGTAAGTTCTTGATCGTATCTTGCAAGTCTATAGTCACCTACTATGCGTTATGATCCGGCAACCCCGAAGTGACAATAATCGGGACCACTCCCGGTGATGACCATAGTTTGAGGAGTTCATGTATTCACTATGTACTAATGCTTTGTTCCGGTTCTCTATTAAAAGGAGGCCTTAATATCCCTTAGTTTCCAATAGGACCCCGCTGCCACGGGAGGGTAGGACAAAAGATGTCATGCAAGTTCTTTTCCACAAGCACGTATGACTATATACGGAATACATGCCTACATTACATTGATGAATTGGAGCTAGTTCTGTGTCACCCTATGTTTTATGACTGTTACATGATGAACCGCATCCGGCATAATTATCCATCACTGATCCGGTGCCTACGAGTTTTCCATATACTGGTTCTCGCTTATTTACTTTCCCGCTGCTACTGTTACAATAACTACAAAATACCAAAAACATTACTTTTGCTATCTTTACTTTTATTGCCGCTACCACCACTATCATATTACTGTGCTACTAAACACTTTGCTGCAGATACTAAGTTTCCAGGTGTGGTTGAATTGATAACTCAACTGCTAATACTTGAGAATATTCTTTGGCTCCCCTTGTGTCGAATCAATAAATTTGGGTTGAATACTCTACCCTCGAAAGCTGTTGCGATCCCCTATACTTGTGGGTCATCACGCCTCTCCCTGGCCGGCCGCCCCCTCCCTCTTGCTCCTTTATATACGAGGGGCAGGGGGCACCCCATAGACACAACAATTGATCATTGATCTCTTAGCCGTGTGCGGTGCCCCCCTCCATCATAATCCACCTCGATCATATCATAGTTGTGCTTAGGCAAAGCCCTGCGTCGGTAGCATCATCATCACCGTCACCACGCAGTCGTGCTGACGAAACTCTCCCGTGAAGCTTTGCTGGATCGGAGCTCGCGGGACGTCATCGAGTTGAACGTGTGCTGAACTCAGAGGTGTCGTGCGTTCGGTACTTGGATCGGTCGGATCGTGAAGACGTACGACTACATCAACTGCGTTGTGCTAATGCTTCCGCTTTCGGCCTACGAGGGTACGTGGACACACTCTCCCCTCTCGTTGCTATGCACCACCATGATCCTGTGTGTGCGTAGGAAAATTTTGAAATTACTACGTTCCCCAACAGCTATGGTGGCGTTCTCGCGGCGCGGTATGCGGCTGCGTCGCCATTGATGGAGCTCGTTGGTTTCGCTCTGGCGGCCAGCGAGGGCTGGACCCCGGGGCGGCGGCCCCGGACGACGGAGGTTGTGTCGGTGGCTGTGGTCTCGCGACATGCGATGTAGTGGCCGCGGTGGTGGACGATCCGTGCACAAGACGCTTGATGGAGGCCATTGGAATAGATCTGGGTGAAGACCTGCTCGCGGCTATTGCCGAGGCTGGCGATGGCGGCACTTTTCGGTGTCATTCCCTTGTTGAAGGCATCGCTGTTGAGAAGTTCCAGGCCACTATCTGCTACCTCCGGGGGAAACCCTAGATCAGTAGATCGGATGACGGCGACATTATTGTGTCGTTGTCCTCTTGTGGCGTCATTCTTGGAGGTGTACACGGGCACGAGGGACCAGTGGACGAAATAATTGGTGGAGCGGTGCTTCATCCTGCACATTAATGTTGGCGTTTCTCGGCGGTGTGGCGCGGTGGAGACTCAGCGCCCGATGTGTAGCGAGGGACTCGCGCAGGAGGGTGCCGTTATCAGGCACCGTGGTGGTGTCGATGGCAGAGAGGCCGAGCAAGGTGGTGCAGCAGTACACACTGAAGATGGATTGGTAACAGGTGGCGGCGGCGGCCTCATACTCGGCAGGCGTCCTCGTTGAGGAGTGCGCCGGACTGGTAAGTGCCCATACCCGGCATGCGTCTGAGTTGGGACCTCAGGTCTTAGATGTTTAGGTTTGGCTGCGATGTCTGTTTGGTATTGGGCCCAGACTATCAGCGCCCCGTCATCAATCGGATAGGTGTAGCGACAGTTGTTGCATAGACGGTGGCTTTAATCTTACTGTTATATCACTTTGTAAGATCTTATAAGAATAATTAATAAATTGGCCGTATGCATCGTCCAGATGCAGAAGTCGGAGGTCCTCCTCCTTTTCTAAAAAAAGATAAAAAATTGCCCTGGTTCCCCCGCCTATACCCAAAATTTAAAATGGGCTGGACCGTTATGTCACGAATGCATGATCGTTTCCATTTGTATACTGCCTCAAAAAAAATTATGCTGCCCCAAAAATAATTATACCGCCTCTTTTTTCTTTTTAGGGGCTTAATTATTTTTATATAGTAATACATGTCTTATTCGTATCATAAAGAACAACGTGCAAGTCATGTAAAAACCGACATGACAAAACTAAAAAGATAGTAGAACATCTCTAAGCTTAACATCAACGTTCATCATCTGCCTACGACACCACCACAGCAGCCATCAAAAAAAGAATGACGAATCACTATCTGACCCGAGCTGGACGCGGCTTCACTACTGATATACAGCTTTGCGGACCTTTAAGGTGGCTCACCAAAAGTGAAGTCTTTGCCGTTGAACGAATCAGACCGGGGCAACACCCCGGACACGCCACCGAACTTCAGATCTGACACCCCACCACAACTAAGACGTCGAAGGAGGAAACCATACCTGCCATCCACGAACCACGAGCCCAGCAGATGTGCCGTCTTCCAGATGTCGTCGATGCAGACCACAATCTGCATCCGCTCCTAGACTACCTCCCAAGCTTTGCACCGACGCTGGAGCAAACACCATCGCAACGGCGGAGTCCGAGGACACAGGTCCACCACGAGGATGCCGCCGCCGCCACGTCATCCTTACTTGGACAGACTGGTTTCCAAATCCATCCCCAACCATAGGACTGATGGCCTTGTCAGGGAAGGATTCGAAGAATATTTATTCAGCGTCGTCATCGTCGCCACCGAAGCAAAGACGATGAACAAACTAAAAACCTAAACTATGAGGGAGTAAAATTAATCCACACACGTGGATCCGGCGGCCCCCCTCGTCCCCGACGACCGAAGTCGCCAGCGGAGGAGAGCCGCCGGAAAACGACGGTGGAAGATTGGCCTCTCCTGGCGGCGGCTAGGGTTGCAGCCGCCAGGGAGAGAAAAACGTATCGCAGCCGGTGAGTTGTGAACCTGAGCGGGGGCATAATTATACTGCCTCTTTTCTTTTTGCGGGGCATAATTATTACTGCCTCAAAAAGAAAAAGTTTTCCATTTGTGCACCCGTGTGTATCGTATAGTAACGGTACCCGAGTTGCATCCCGTCCAAACCGTATATGATCCAAAGAAACTGTACCTCGGCGGCTGACCAGGTAGCGAGCGCAGGGAAGGGCGATGGGGACGAAGAAGCCGCAGCTCCTCCGCCTCGCCGTCGTCGCCGTCGCCGTCGCGGCCGTCCTTCTGACCGGTAACAACGACGAGCCGCAGCCTAACCTCCACCTGATCTATCGTCCTGTTGCGTCGCCTAAAGATATATGTTCTGTTTTCTTTTCTCGATTTGGTTTTGCTCACTCGGTTTCTCGATCTGGCTCTCCAGCTTCGGCCAAGAAGTCCGCGGATGTTACACAGCTCCAGATCGGCGTCAAGGTCCGTATTCCGCAGGATTGCAACCAAACCGCAATCTCTGCCGCGCTCTAGTATTGCTTTGTGTGATTTCTGTGTTCCGGCGGATCTGAGATCCTTCGGTGCAGAAGAGTTCAGGAAAAGGCTCGGTTGGATGAAGCTAGATTGCTAGGTTTGCAGATCCGCAAGTGCGAAATAGGCTGTTGTTCCTTCGCTCACACAAAGGGCGTGAGATTCGGACTGCAGTTTATTCTCTAGAGCTAATTAGTAAAAATAAAGATGAGGCGAGGCTAATTAGCAATTTACTTGTGTAATCTTAAGGAATGTTGTTTAACCAACCAGTATGTGCTTTTATATTGATGTATTAACAAGAAGCCATGATGGATATCTCTCAGAAGTAACATTTGGTCTTCTAAGGAATGTTGTTCCAATACTGGCCAAGATCACTTCTGCGGGGACTAGTCATGTTACACGGGATGTAAATTAAAAGCTGAGCAGAGAAGTGGACACCCTATGTTGTTATGGTACCTCTGCTATGAGTTTCAAACAGAAAAATTATGTACTTACTGCTAAAGCGTGCGGAGAATGTCAAGAGAGGGCGGGGTCGACCGATTTTGACATGGGAGGAGTCCATTAAGAGAGACCTGAAGGATTGGAGTATCGACAAAGAGCTAGCTATGGACAGGGGTGCGAGGAAGCTTGCTATCCATGTGCCAGAGCCATGAGTTGGTTGCGAGATCTTATGGGTTTCACCTCTAGCCTACCCCAACTTGCTTGGGACTAAAGGCTTTGTTGTTGTTGTTTTGTTACTGCTAAGGTTCATACATTATTTTCGAAATGGAATATCCAGTATTCAATCACAAACCAGAGTGTGGGATAGGGTTGTTCATCACATTTTGGCCATACCATTGAAGCATGCCCGGTAGTACTCTCTCAGTTGTAATAGGCCGTATTTTGCCTGTCTGATGTTCATCTTTGACAGCAAATTCCTGTATTTGTATTTCATTCATAGCTATAAAACTAGTCACAAGAAAGTGCTTTTGAATGCAAACTTAATGGTATGAAGCTTATACGTATAACATAACCCATGTACTGTTGGATTAGTTGTTGCCTTGTTGGCCAACTCATGGATTTGGACAGTCAGGATACACGCTGCATTTGCAACAGAGGAGTAATAATTGAATAGCATTATCAGATGCATACAAGATTTAGTTGTAATTAGATGGTTTGAATGGTTTAGAAAAAATGCTGATGAACACCCTTACTGTGGAGGGCAGAGATTTTCTGTATCTTTTTTTAGAAAGTGAGATTTTCTGTACCTACATGCCTAGCTTTCAGTTACTCATTAAGTGTGCAACATTCGATTTATAAAGTTGTAAGGCAATCATATACAGGTTATGCTTTCATTCTTATTACATTCCAATGATAGTATCACTGTGACTTCACATGACACTGTTTTCTTTGGCTCATCCCCTTTTCAGTACAAGCCTGAATCATGTACCCTACAAGCTCACAAAGGCGACAAGATTAAAGTGCATTATCATGTAAGTATTTGACCGACGCTTTTATCTGAAGTCAGCTATCCTATTCACTTGTGATTCTTGATAGTACTCTAGTCAAAAGAAATAATGACTGTAGCTAGTTATAACAAGCCTGCAATTCCAAGTCTCAGAAGCAAGGGCCACTGAGTTTCCTTTACTGTAACCTTCCTACTGTTCCTTCCAATGACTATGAACAACATAGTCCAAATGTACGATACTGTTAAGAGTACGTAATGGGCCTAATGGCCTGGGCTGGCGGTATAGCCCGTTAGTCTTAGGGTTAATTAGAGATAAGGGTCGCTTTCTTAGGGGTCAAGTAAGCCTTGCTTGGGAGTCAAGTAAACCTCTCTATATAAAGAGAGGAGATGTATCAATCTAATCAAGCAAGAATTAAGAAGGAAATCCCTTCCATCTTGCCCGGCCGTGGGCAAAAGGCCCCCGGCCGGCCCTCTCGCGCCCTCCTTCTAGCAGCGCCATAACAATTTGGTATCAGCTAGCTTCGGTTCGATCATGTCTTCACCGCCACGCAACCCGTCTCTTCCGCTGCCGGTCACGACCGTCGCCCCGCTCCTGCCCGCGCCGGGATCCTCCGTCGCGCCCGCCCCCGTCGTCCTCACCCCGGAGGTGTCCGGGGCGCTGCGGGACCTAACACAGGCGGTCCAGGAGATCCACCTGTTCTTGGCCGGGTCCTATGGGCCGCACCCGGCTGCGCCGCCCATCACCGCCACCGCGCCGCCGTGGCTGCCGTGGCAGCCGCCGCACCAAGCGGCCCCCGCCGCGCTTGCCGGGCTGCTGCAGCAGCCGCTGCAGCTGCCATCCATCGCCCCGTCCTGGCTGTCGTGGCAGCCGCCGCACCAGGCGGCCTCCGCCGTGCTCGTCGGGCTGCTGCAGCAGCCGCTGCAACTGCCATCCACCGCCACCACCGCCCCATCCTGGCTGCCGTGGCAGCCGCCGCACCAGGTGGCCTTCGCCGCGCTCATCGGGCCGCTGCAGCAGCTGCCATCCACCGCCCCGCCCTGGCTGCAGTGGCAGCCACCGCTCCTGGCGACCTCCGCCGCGCCCGGCGCTCCGCCGCAGCAGCCGCTGCAACTGCAGCAGCCATCACCGGTCAGCTCTGGCCCCGCATCGACCGCGCCGACGGGAGTCCCGATCCACCAGATCAAGTTCCCGCTGTCGCCATCACCGCTTCCCCAGGGCGTCCCCATTCAGCAGATCAAGCTTCCGCCGTCGCCGTCACCGCTTCCAGCTTGGATCACTACCCGCCACGTGTCGACGACGGTGAGGCTGTAGGCTGCTGCACGCGGCCTGTTGCGTGGTCTGCAGTTGCCGCTCCTCCCAGTTGTGTTTCGCTGCGCAAAGGACCTCGATCTCGTCCACTGCGTCGGGGATCTTGGGCATGCTGTTTTCCCCACGGACGACGCCCTCAAAGTCTGCGACATCGGCGGTTGGGGAGGCGCACCCCTCCTCGCCATTGTCCATCGACAACCCTCCACTCTTCTATGTGCGGTGCCGACCAACAGCCGTCCGGCGGGGAGAAGGCATGGTGTCACCGACAAGAGCGCACCGCGTAGCACCACTGCATTCCACCGCCGGCCGCCGCGAGGGCGCCTCTGCTGGTCGCTCTTGCGACCACTTCCAGGTGGCCATACACATGCACTCCTTTTGTCCAGATGGTGTCCATGGGATCCAGGTGGCTGTACACGTGCACGTCCGACGTGCGGATGGTATCCACTTTTTGTTAAGAGGTCCAAAATAAATCATCCCAGTCCATTTCAGGTTGAGAGTAATAAAACAAGCCGAGATGTAAAAGGCTTGTTTTTAGGTGTTAGGTTTGTGTTGCCTCGAGTCATGGTTATAAGTTGGTTAGGCTGCAGCTTGAGGACAAGCTGCATGTCCAGGTGGGGTGTAGTGTTAGAGTACGTAATGGGCCTAATGGCCTGGGCTGGCGGTATAGCCCGTTAGTCTTAGGGTTAATTAGAGATAAGGGTCGCTTTCTTAGGGGTCAAGTAAGCCTTGCTTGGGAGTCAAGTAAACCTCTCTATATAAAGAGAGGAGATGTATCAATCTAATCAAGCAAGAATTAAGAAGGAAATCCCTTCCATCTTGCCCGGCCGTGGGCAAAAGGCCCCCGGCCGGCCCTCTCGCGCCCTCCTTCTAGCTCCGCCATAACACGATACACACTCTCATTTATGCGTCAACTTTATAATGAATCAGTTGTCATAGCTATTTAACGCGGTGTCTCTTAACATGAACCAGTTGAGATGCCCTGCAGAGAAAGTGAGAAACATCATGGCAGAGTGACCCTAGTAATTTATGGCCTTTATTGCGTTGTTTACCTGGTTTGTTTGTCATGTTTGCCTCAAAGAAACTCTTTGATGCTTTTCCTTTAGCGAATTGTCTCCACAGTTTTGTCATTCAGCTGAAAGCTTGACTATGCTGCGTGCAGGGGACACTCACTGATGGATCAGTATTTGACTCTAGCTATGACAGAGGTGATCCCTTCGAATTCACTCTTGGGAATGGGCAGGTGATAAAAGGTATTCTCTTTACCTGGAGCAGCATGCGATTATTGGTTTATCTGTGGTCCATATTGTACTGGCTTGAACAAACAACAATATATATATGTTACAAAAAAGAAACGTGGAGAAACGGCCTATGTTGTTCTTCTCAGAAACCCTTCGCAATGGCGCCAACCTACATTATTGTTTCCATCTGTGCGTAGGTTGGGACCAAGGTTTACTAGGTATGTGCGTCGGCGAAAAGCGGAAGCTAAGGATACCCGCAAAGATGGGTTACGGGGAGCGAGGCTCCCCACCAAAGATTCCAGGTATGGCTTGTTATTTGTATGTTTGCTTGGTATGATCCTTGTGGTCAAATTGTATCTCGTATACTGCTTGGATTGTCAAGTTTGATATTGCCATTCTAGCTAGTTTGTCACCTGCATCTATCTTATGATCCAAACATGGCATTCTGCCATGCACTCTTTCATTGACCAGCGATGCTGACTAGCAGTTTTGAACTCTGATGATAGGTGGTGCGACTCTGGTTTTCGACACGGAGCTCATCGCCGTGAATGGGAGGACGTCTGCTGGCGCTGCCGCGGAGAGCGACGACAGCGAGCTTTGATACATACATGGATGTAGTTTTGCTTGCATTTCTGCGAGTCCTTCGGCTAAAAGGGCCGCCGTTTTCGAACGATTCCATCATCATGTTTAAAGTGTTACAGAGACCGGTTAGATTGCTGTATCAATGATCGCAGTGACCAACAATTAGTAATCCATATTCATGCGATACATCTTTTCACTCCTGATGGGTGTGCGGCTGTTACTAGTAGTGAACACAAGCATCTTTGAGTTCCTTGAGACTGTACGGCTGTTAACGATGAGCGCCAGCTCCATGTTTGTTATGCGTACACAAGTCGAGCATGCAGTGCGGTGATCAGTGGAGAATGACCACTTGAAGACTGGTTTCACATTCTCGGATGTCGCGGCAGGAATCCCGTGGCCCTCACCTCGTAGAATATATGGTCTGAATGGTAGTGTTCAACACTGGCAGTGCGCTAGTGCTCCGGCGGCAGGCAGGCAGCAGCACCGCCACGAGCTTTTAGCTTTTCATCAGTCTTTGAATCTTTTAGCTTTTCATCAGTCTTCATTCAAACATGCAGGGGTTGTTTGGATTGTGACTGTCTTTGCTATATATTGCCACATGATTTTTGTCACACTTGTCTTAGTTGAGTTGCTTAAATTGTTGGCCACAATTTGGCTTGTTTAAGGGAATCTTGTCACACTTTTTATGCCTATGACATGGGGGGTTCATTGTTCATCGAAAAATTCTTGCCTTATATATGACTAGAACCAAACACCTATTTAACTTGATCAAAATTGTTTAAAGTTAGGGATGATAAAGTGTGACAAGGTGTGGCTAGGAACCAAACAGCCCCGCAGTATCGGCCAGGCCATAGTGCGCACCTCTGAGCCCATGCGATCTGCCGTCGACGACGCACAGGGATAAACCCTACAGCTACAGCTCTGGTTCTCAGTCCACAAACTACGACAGCTTGAAGGAATGCATGCCATGCACCCTGCCCTGTAGTGTTGTTGCTTGTGCGTGATCCACTGTTGTGTGGATCGTCTGATCTTTTCTCACTTGCGCGCTAAAATGCCGTTTGCTCCTCCAGAGAGTGCAGAGCCCGGCAGTGACACGCGCGCACGGGTGCATGCGGCCAAGCGCCACGGGCAGTGACACCTGACCAAACGACTCTATACACACCAACAGTAATATACGTACAAGCCTGACGGGCAGCGGCGCAGGATTGCAAGCCAAACGAACGTTCTTTTATCCGGATTTTGTCCATTTTAAATGCTAATGGATAAGAAAATGAACATACGTGTCCGGCTTCGGTTGGAGGTGCCCAGCGCGGCAAATGACCCTAAATTGTCCGTCTCAGCCTCGGTCACGCGCCTGCCGCTCCCGAGTCCGCGCCGTTCACCGCCTCACCGGCAACAGCAGCAGCCTGCGCCGCGGCCTCGCCATCCCCGCCCTCGCCGCGGCCCGGCCGCCCTCGCCCACACCATCCCCACCCCGCCGCGCCGCGCTCCGCCGCACCCGCGCCCTCCGCGTTCACCCCGCACGCCCGCGCCCTTCGCTGCACCGCACACTGCCCACCGCCCATGCCCGC